AAGGAAGGAAGGAAGGAAGGAAGGAAGGAAGGAAGGAAGGAAGGAAGGAAGGAAGGGCGAGCCTTATCAGGTTCTATTTAATTTTATGATAGTTCCATTTAGTTGAATATTTCCAAAACAGGATGCCCAGCTTGTTCTTTCCATGAAGATTTGATACACTGGGTTACACAATCTTTTAAGGTCAGTAATCAGTAAGAATTTTCACATGTTAAGAGTGTTCTCACAATATGACAGGAGTTATCTACAGAAGAAGGAAGAGGAAGAGGAAGAAGGCAAGTTTTATCAGCCACATTTACCAGAAGGCAAATTGATAAGATTGCTCCACACACACTTTTTAAAGTCCTAGGATAGCCTCCAACTGAAGCCTTATGTGGACAGGGATAGCCTGCCTTCAGTTAGCCATACTTGGACAACATTTCTCTGTTGGGTATCAGTAGTGTGCAGCGTGCATGAAGCTACTTTGGAAGATAGTTCAGAAACTGAGTAGTCTACACCAAAACTGTTACTGACTGGAATTGGTCAATATGAAATATAAAAGCCCACTGCATTTTATTCACTTCTTATGGTTTAACTTGTCATTATTGGGTGGATTAAACAAGGAAGAAATAAAAAGGATTAACCGTAAGCAATTATTTCATAGGAGGAAAACAACCCTACTGTCTCAGATCAGTAGTCCCAATTACATGAATGTACTGTTCATGATTAAATGTATCAAAAGCAATGTCAGGTCAGAGACAATAAAGTTAAACTTGTCACTGTTCCCTCTCCCACAGGCAAGCTGACTTTTGGTCTAACCAGTTATAAAGTCAGAAAGATAGTGGCAGCTTCTGGAGAATGTTATAAGTTGCCAGGAATTAAAAGTACTGGAACATGTATTCTTATGTAATTTACATGAGATCCTCTAGGAAAACATGTTCCCTGGTACACATTCATTAATTCCATTCTGTAGCGCTCCTCAAAGTAACTTAAATCATAATGGAGGCAAGCAAAATAATATGGAATGTAAAGCAAAATTAAAAGAAGATTTGAATGATTAAACAGGTTCCTATTTTAATAGCTCACCTATCCAAACAGTCCCTGTAGTTCATTGTTGCTTTGAACCCAAGAATTGAAAAAATGGAGATTGAAGCATACATAGATGTTAAACTGTTCACTGCAGCTATTATGATAGAATCCTTTTCACAGTCATTTCTAGAAGAAAAAAATTAAAAAACAGATTAAACTTTCCAAGAGGCAGCACTAAGTATGAAAATTGCCAGTTATGTCAGGATTCTCATCACTGGACTAATTTTAAATGTGAAATTGTATATGCCCTATGATCATGGTGCACTTGATAGATGCAGCAGGTGAAATTTAAATTTTATTCAGCTGATCATCTCAGGTGGTTGTAACTGAACTATTTTGTCTGGAGTTAGAAGCTAAGCAGGACTATGATTTATTAGAAGTAGGATCAGGAAATCACCAAAAAATATTAGAGCTGTCAGATAGACTGAAAAGTAAAAAAAAAAAAAAAAAAAATTCTATTAGAAGATACTAGCAAAATTCCATACAGTTACAAAAAAGCTACATGGTTGTGTTCACATTGCCCCTGGAAATGTTAAACTTAGGGTGATTAGTTGAAAGGATATTGACCTAAAATGGTGGAATTCTAGCAAGTATACAGAAATGACCCACTATGTAGAACAATGAAGTGACTGTAAAATGGTCAGTGAGATAGATGAAAGCAGGAACTGCTGTTGAAATATGATTGTAAAACCTTTTCAGCATTGATTATATTAGAAAGGAAGTATGGTCTCTACTTTAGGCAACAAAATAACATGAGTTAACACTGCATGTGCAGGTTGCCATAAAGGAAAAGAAAAACTAACTGCTTAAATTCTACTTTCTTTTCACTTGCTACGACTATAAACAAACAAACCAGCATGTAGCCTGTTTTAAAGTGGTGTTGGGTATGAACTTTTTCAAAATGGAACAACCAAACCGTATCTCTCCTGAACTCCACTTCTCTGAATCATCTTCAAATGGAGTTATGGGATATGTGATGTTAGCATACCCCAATGTATCATGCATAATGGGCTAATGTTACAGTCACATACGTAAGTGACTTAGTCTGAAGATGACACTCAGCTGGTGGAATCCTTCTTTAAAGGGTATTTCTTGGCATCAAGCACCTGTCTCATGGAACTGAGTAGAAGACAGCATTTAAGCAGTGACCATTTTTCTTAGGGCTCATCCACACACCTTCCTTGCTCCAGCCCACTTACCACTAGAAGTGGATTGATTAATTACATTTATATCCACATGCAATCCAACAACTTTCAGTGCTTACATGAGATATACTCACAAAGGAGTTTCAATTCAAGGTGCTGGTTGTCACCTTTAAAGCCCAGATGGCATGGAGCCAGGTTACTTGTGGGACTACCTCTCCCTGGGGTTCTGCCTATCCTGCAATGCTCCAGGTCCCATTGGTGAAGCAGTGTCGGGGGGGTGGGGCAGGAGAAGCTGTCATGGCACCTGTCTTGTGGAACAGCTTCCCATCAACATACCGACAGCCCCAAACCTATTGGCCTTTTGGAAGGCTATGAATGCCTGGCTGTTCTCCCAGGCACTGGGACTAGGATGTTGATGGAGCCCTGCCATGGGTTGTTACAGTGTTTAATATGTTGATAATATGATAAACCCATATTATCCAATTTCTTCTGAATTGGATTGTATAGTTTGGTTATGTTTATTTCTATTCACCACCCAGAGTATATAAGTGGCTAAATATTGGATAGATGTTTAAATAGATAGATAGATAGATAGATAGATAGATAGATAGATAGATAGATAGATAGATAGATAGATAGACAGACAGACAGATAGAGAGATAGACAGATATCTCGTTGCCTGCTCGCTGCTGTGGGGCAGACTGTAGCTGGACCAAGGTGTTCTAGCTTGAAAGTATGGGAAAATGGAAGAAAACCTCCCATGTGAACATTCTATTGCAGAACTCTGAGCTACCATGGCTGTTCCTGCCAAATAAATTTCCTTTCCTTTCCTTTCCTTTCCTTTCCTTTCCTTTCCTTTCCTTTCCTTTCCTTTCCTTTCCTTTCCTTTCCTTTCCTTCTTTCCTTTCCTGATTTGATGAAGGGAATATCGACCTCTTATAAGATGAAATGATCTCTTCCTTGAAGTCAATATTCCCACTGGTAAACAAACCCCCCAAAAACAAAAAGCCACCTACCATTATACGAAACAACCCAAGACTGCAAAAAGACAGTTTTGTTTCTCCTCTTCCGTCCCATCCTTTTCAGTCATCTGATACCAACATTAATACTAAGAATGACTGGGAGATCTGTTCTCAGAAATGGTTTTCATTTCAGAAACAGAAATACAAAAAAAGAATGACTTCCAACTTCTTTTACAGCATTTTACTTTAATGTAAGTAAAACATACATTAAACTCTTACTCTAGGATTATATCTTAACATGGTTTTCATTTCAGATAAAGATCAAAAAAGCCCCTGAGCACACATATTAGAAAGCATCATATATATCCACTTAAGAAAGTACACCAATCCCATTCAGAAAACGGGGGCTGGGAAAAACCATGCCCCCCCCCTTAGTTCCTCTTTCCTCTCCATCTTACTCCTCAAATGAGTCAAGGTCAAGAAACTAAAGGCAATTTCCCACTACCTCAACATCTAGAGGATTAACAGAGTCAGAGAAGAAATGGGTCAAAGTGAGAAGAAGGTAAGGACAACAGCCAACACACAAGTTAAGAGCAGGCATCTTCCCTTTTTGTTGCAAGTTATCTCATCTGCTTCTCCCTATGGGGAACTATGCCCTTCTCCTCTGCCTTGTGGTTTATTTTATTTATTTTATTTCATTATCAAACTTGTATGCCACCCATCTCCCCCAACGGGTGACTCTGGGCGGCTCACATTTTATTTCATTATCAAACTTGTATGCCACCCATCTCCCCCAACGGGTGACTCTGGGCGGCTCACATTTTATTTCATTATCAAACTTGTATGCCACCCATCTCCCCCAACGGGTGACTCTGGGCGGCTCACAATAATAAAAAAGAAAAAAAGTCCCTCCAACCATGGATAAAATCTATAAATAATTTAAAAACATATAATAAAAATGCCGTAAAACCTATAATTTTTAGCCCTAAAAACCTGCAAGATGCTGGAGGGGGACAAACCCATCACCCCAACAGCCATCTCCACAGGTGCGGG